GGGGGGGGGCTGTGGGGAGGCGGCCGGACGGAGCCGTCCGCCTGGAGCGGGGGCGGGGGGTCGTGGTGGAACCGGCGGACGGAGCCTAACGGCTCCGTTCGCCGGTCTTACCTGTTACAGAATGGCCGGGAGAGGTTCCTCTCCGAAGACGCTGTGATGACTGGCTCCCTCCCCTCCGAGCCACCCAGCCAATGGCAGGCCAGGTTCGCTGAGGGAGCCAGTCATCGCAGCAAGCGTCTTCTGAGTGGCAACTCTTCCGGCCATACAATAACGGTGCGCATTTTAGAATTTTGGCACCCAAAACGCTTTTATTATAAGGGAGAGATGTATTGATTATTTTATCTTGGTGGCAGTGGTATGCGACAGTAATGATAATGGTAATAAAAATTTTCTTTCAGTTTACCTTCTTGAATGCCGGTCTGGAAATGGACAGGACTACAGAGGAACTGTATCTAAGACTCAAAGCAATATACCATGCCAAAAATGGGCAGCGAGGAGCCCTCACGTACCCAAGTATGATTCTTTTCCATCTCTATGATAGCTACCATTCTTGGGCTGCATGTGCTTAACTCTCCAGGAGAGTGTGTCTTGTCAGCAAATAATAGGGTTGCCAAGTGATAATTGAGCTGCAGCAGGGGACTCCCGGCTTGCGGCTGGAGCGCGCGCCACATCCACGTCACTCAGAAGTGACGCGGGAACGCCAGGTACGCTGGGGGCAAGGCCATGACCATCCAAGGGAAAACCATAGAGTTTTCCCTTGGATGACCGTGGCCCCACCCCCAGTGTGCCCGGCGTGGTCACGTCACTTCCATGTGACGTGCACGTTGGGGTGGAGTTCCCCCCCGGGGCCCGATCCACCGGCGGCGGGGAACAGGCCTCTGGGGCGGGGGTTTCCCCACCCCCCGGGGGGACTTGGCAAGCCTAGCGAATAAGCTGGTTGGCCTGCTCAGCAATCCTGCCCTTGATGCATGAGTCACGCATGGTCACCAACATGTAGATCTTCGGCTGTGTGAGAGGCTGAAGGCTGGCCCCAAGGCCATCTTGCAGCCATTTCACCAGTGCATGCATGATGGAAGCAAGGCTGCACATCCTGCAACTGGCTCCAAAAGGCAGCCATGTCTTTATGAGCTGTTTGGATCATGACCAGAGCCATGAGAGCGATTGCGTGTGGTTCTTAAAGGGCTTAAGAACCTCCAAAGTCTGAGAGATAGTCAAGCACTCATCCTGGTTGAGCCAGCTCGCTTCCTGAGCTACCCAGGTCTCAGAGACTAAGGCAGTCAGTGCTGTCTTCTGCTCCACCAAACACTCAAGCATGGCGTAGGTGGAGTTCCAGTGAGTGCTCGCATCGCTTATCCGTTGGTGCTCTAGCACACCTGTCAGACCTGCTTCTCATGCAGGAGTTGGATGTCCTTCATACTGCAAGAGAAGTGACCAGTGAGATGCTGGTATTTTTGGAGAAGATGCTGGAAATCATAACTCTCAGCATCCAGACTGGGATTCTCTGCATCCTTTGTTTGTTTCAATCAATTTATATTCCACCTTCCCCACAAGTGGGCTCAGGACAGATCACAAAACAGATCAAGACGACATAAAAATACAATACATTATTAAATATAAAAACAGATTCAAGCTAGTGTCATTTTTCATCTTCTTAATCTGTGCCACATAAAGATGGTAAACTTCAGCGGTGGGGGGGGAAGCGATATTTTATCGGGCTCTTGATGTGTCTGTTTACCACCAAAGGCCTACCTCATCCTTATCTATGAGGTGGAGATGGGGGCCCTGCAGTAAATGCACCTGAGACCCAATGCCTGTGCCGCTGCCCTCATGTTTGCACCACCATTGGTTACCATGAAGCCCATGGAGATGTCCCTGCCTACCCACCCCACTCTTTCTCGATGGCAGCAGAATTATCTGCCATGTGCACCTTGTTAAGAATCCTGGAGTGGAGAAGAGCCTGGCAACAGCTGGCTCAGTGACCTTCACCCTGCTTAACACTGGTTTCCCCACCCACACCTAGAACATCATTGGGTTGTCACCAGTGCACAGTCAGCAAGAGTTACACATGATGCACCTGAGGGCCAATGTTCCCTCTAAGCTGTGGAGTCTTGTGAGCAAAATTTCTACTTGGTGAGCTACTGGCATTAAAGTTGTGAGCGAGCGATTCAGCTACTGCATTAATTAATTTGTTCTGGAGCCCTCCTTCCTGAGCTAAGACAAAAATGTGTGAGCCAGAGGCTAAAAAACTGTGAGCTAGCTCACACTAACTCAGCTTAGAGGGAACACTGCTGAGGGCAAGTCCAGATGTTGGACATGAAGTGGCTAGTTATACCATGAGTGCAGGACAACTGTGCCTTCATGTAGTCCCTGACAGCCCTGTACAACACAGGCAACTTGGCCCTGTTCAGTGTGGTGTGGGCAGGGACTGTGTACCAGGGATAAGCATCCCGCAGTAGCCTTTGGAAGCCGATATCTTTGACTATGGAGAAGGGGTGGCCATCTAGAGTGATCATCTCACCAATGAGACAAGTGACCCTCTTCCCTACCTGCTGTTCCCCCTTCCCCCACCACCCTAGTGCCAACCTCACCAAACATCTCCATCAGAGATACTTGGCATCTCTTCCCTCCCGGAGACTGTTCAGGGGCAGCACTGGATGTGGTCGCAGGATGATTCACCTCCTGGCCAGCTGGTGGTGGCCCCATGGCCACCCCAGAAGCAGCCTCACCCCCCCAAAAAAACATGGATTGGTGGTGCTTCTTCATGTGGCTCCACAGTCCTGTAGTCGAGAGATGAATCAGTTCTCTCCCTTGACTGATCCAGGCCCTACACAGCTGGCACTGTGTGATGCCGGGATCTTCCATGTGCTGAAAGTGCTTCCAGACTACAGAGGTGCAGGGGCACCCATGCTGACTAGCAGCTGCAGGCACCCTTGGAGCCGCCTCCTGTGAAGAGTTCAGGGCAGACATGCTGTGTCTTGAGGAGACAGGAAGAGATACCTGAGGGGGAAGGCGTTGAGATGGCAGCACCTTGGGGTGTACCCCCATCTCTTCCTCATATGTCACCTCTGCCCTCGCCTTCTGTTCCTTCTCAGAAGGCCTGCTGGGCTCTGGAGGAACTGGAGCAGGGACACCCATCCTCGCCTGTAGCTCAGGGTCCCCGGGGTGAGCTCCAGAGCTGGACCACTCTCATCCCCAAAGCTCACCCCGAAAGACAGCTCAGGCAACTTCTCCTCCTGCTGCTGAGCCTCAGCAATAACAGCAGTAGGAAGGGCAGCCTGGGCAGCAGACCCCTTTCCAGTGCCAGCACCTGCAGGCACCCCTGCAGGTGGCACTCCAGCAGCTGCCTCAATGAAGAGGGCCCAGTGTGGCCTCTTTACTGCACCACTCCAGCCAGAGGATGGAGTGGTGGAAGGCAACTGTGGAGCAGGCCTCTGCGCAGGCGGGGGGGGGGGGGGGGGGGGAGCGACAGCTCTCCTAGTCTTCTCCTTCTCCTTGCTCCCAGGGCCCCGCTGCATTTCCTTCCTGCCACTCATCGTTTCCCCTGCCAAACTCTTTCTAACTAGTAGTACTTGAGGGAAATTAGGTACCTACTACCTGCACTACAACCTAACAGGCTCTGTAACCATTTTATGAACCCTCCCACCAAAAACGTAAGTTTTTGTTTTTAAATGCACCGAACTTAACCTCGCTTCGGTGTTTTTGTTTGTTTGTTTTTAGAACTAGTGATTTCCTCTTCTGAAACCTGATTTGCAAACTTAAAAAAAACCTTTAAGGTTCTTTATTAAACTTTTCCTGACTGTTTGCTATTGGAGTGCACCTGATTTCCTTTACACAAATTCAGGAGCTCCCTTCTGAAAAATGAAACTACAGGACAGCCTAAAGCAAAACTTGTCTACAAATGCCTGCTTTCAAATACTGAAGCTCAGAGCAGACACTAGAAAGGTTTTTTTTAAGTTACTCTATGGCTCAAGTGGTTAAGACGCTGAACTGCAGGCTGTGGAAGGTCAGTAGTTCAGCAGTTCAAGACCCGGGTGCCGCAAGACGGGGTGAGCTCCCATCTCTAGTTCCAGCTCCTGCCAACCTAGCAGTTCGAAAGCAAGAAATTGCAAGTAGATAAATAGGGACCACTTCGGTGGGAAGGTAACAGCGTTCCGTGCGCCGTGGTGTTTAGTCATGCCGGCCACATGACCACGGAAACGTCTTCGGACAGCGCTGGCTCTTCGACTTTGAAACGGAGATGAGCACCGCAACCCTAGAGTCGGATTCGACTGGCTTTCGAGCAAGGGAACCTTTACCTTTTTTATACTAATTATACTACTGTTTTACACATACAACCTTGCCTCCTTTAATAACCTTGCACCAGCCTAATTAGGGAGGAACTAGAGCCCTATGCAGAAATTTAATTAGAACTGTTTTAAACAATTCCTAGCATACCCTTATTGCTAAAAGCCTTTATTTAAAATCTACTGCCAGAACAAGTATTTAACAATTAGAAAGCCCTACTTGAAGCAGAAGCGCACACACTGCACCAACCAGAACTTTCAATGGACCTCAACCACTGAACTTCTAAACACCAATCCCCCCAACCAACTTACCAGAAAATAGAGGGAGGAAAAAGGGGGAGGGGAGACCCCCACCTCAGCTATTCAACTGAAAAGCAGAACAGAAATCTTTTAACACATTAAACCACCAGAAAGTGAATGGGGGGGGGAGGTGGGACAAAAGAAATAATAGAAAGCAAGAAACAAGGCCAAAAGCCCTCCTAGACCCGAAAAAAGGGGGGAACCCAGAAAAAGCAAGCAACAAAGCCCCCAAGCCCCCTCACCCCATGTTAAGTCGTGCGCTTAACAAAGAGTCGGAGAGTGATTCAGCAAGAATTGCGGTTTATTCTTCAGCTTAGTTACGATCGCCAGCCAGAACCATCATTCGAACCACTCGAGCCAAAGGACAAGCACTGGCTGCTCTGTATTTAAACATTCCCGGCTAGTGTAGCCACACCCCCTGTACAAATAACAACCTATGAGGTTGAAGATATAATGCCCAATCACAAGCGGTCCCGCTTTACAGCGTGATTGGTAGACACTCTCTGGGCTAGGACTCCTATTGGTTACATTAGGATCCTAGCCCAGGCTGAAGCTTAACATAGAGTTTCAATGAGACGATTCGCATGTCAGTATTTACATTCAAGTCAATACATAACAAATCCCTCCCCCCTAAGCAAAAACATTATGAACACTCGTAATCGCTTAAGTAGGTGGGCACTCTGCGCACTCTCTGAGACCTCCGTGGCGTAGGAGGTTCAGGGCACCTTTGAATTGGAGGCACTCGGCTTGACTCACTCTCGAGTGGGTCAGGAACGCTACCATCCCTTGCAGTGGGTCCAAGAGTAGGGGTCTGCCCTCCCTCAGGGACAGTACTGGGCTCGGCAGGCTCGGCAGTACTCACCTCCGGCAGAGGTATGGGATGGTTGTCTGGGTCCGGTAGCTCGGTTGGCTGCGAGGTGGGGCGGCCAG